CAGTATAATGGTTGGTGTAAAATTGAGTGAAAATCTGGCACTGTGTAAGAAATGCCTGCTTTTCTCCCTGCAGTGTGCATTCCCACTAGCCTTCTAGTTTTAAGATACCCTATGAAGCTGAGATTTAATATTTGGGGAGAGAGTGTCACAAACTGCCATTTCCAGACTTAATAATAGAAGAAATGATTTGCTTTCAAGATGCTTTAAAATATATTTTTCTTGCTCTTAGAATAATCAGTTTTCTCAAAGAACTTTGAAGAAGACAGTGCCTTGAAAAATGATTATAGAATACACTACATATTTTAAATATTCAGCTGATGGCATAGTGTGATAATAACCTTCAAGTTTTTATCATTAATTTTAAATTGTCTATTAAAATAAGAAATGCACACTCAGCATTGTAGGATATCACTATTTTATTTACTCATATTTCAAGGTAATATGTAAAAGTCCATTTGAGATATCTATGGCCAGTATAGAGAAAAGGCATAGACAGGAGGATCATATGAAAAGAGAATACAAATTAACAGTGGTGAAATCACCCATACTAATCACAAGCAATACCTTCTATTAAATATTTTTCATCCTCTAATTCTGGGAAATTGTAAGCAAGTCTTGGACATTAGGGTAAGAGAGTTATCACAGACCCTTTTGTTCAGACAACTCGGTAAAGGTAATTTAATTCTACTAGACTTTAAATTTATCACATAACCTAGTTGGTATTAATTATGTAGCAATGTGAATTTAACTATATACAAATTATGTATATATATATATGTTATTTATAGAAAATTTAAAAGTAAAATAGGCACATATAATAATGGGTTTGGAGTGGATCATGAGTTAGTAAAAATCATTTTTCTTTTTTCTTATTTACATTCATTGAGATAATATTGTTGTATAATAAAGTATGTGATTCGGGGAGTAGGGTCACACTCATCAGATGTATATTACTATCTATCCCCACCATCCAAGCACCCCTAATCCTCTAATTAGATCCTTGTGCCTTTCCTTCTTTTTCCTACCCTCTCACTGCCTCCTCCACTAGGCTCAGTTCTGCAGCCTTATTTCTAGGGCTTATTTTTATTTAGTTTTGTCAGTTTCTCTGTGTTTTTTTTTCTCTATAGTCCACATATGAGCTAAACCATTCAGTATTTGTCTCTTCCCTTCTCACTTATTTTACTTAGTATAATCCCCTCCTTATCCATCATTAATTTTTCTACTCTCATAATAATATTGTCTCACTCTATCTTGTATTATTTAGTATTAAAAATAGAATAAAATATAACAAATGTCTCTCATAATAGAGTAATATATAGCAAATGTCTCTTGCCACAAATAGTAAAAGGTAACAAATCATTTATTTTAGATGTTTGATGTAATTTGTTTAAAACTAAAATTTACTTGGTTACCATGCCCACAACTTTCTTCTTACTTCCCAAATGAACTTGAAGTTGGCGATAACTACGCTCGATATCGGGATATATTTTTATTAAAGACATATATAAATAGGTATATTTGGTTTGGAAAATCTAGCTTGTTATCTGGAAGATCATATTATTGTTCCTACAATTTACAGTGATTCCTTTCAGCCAATTTTATACCCACTTCTTCACCATGTGTCTTGCAGGACTCTGCACTTTTCTATGACACTAAAATCAGGTTTGGCCAAATGACTTGCTGTCTCCAGCTGAAACTTTCTTTTTTTTTAAAGATTTATTTATTTATGCATATAAGAACTGGGGTACAGGTCAGAGGTTTGGGGAGTTAGAGCAGTTACCAGAGAGAGTGGGGAGCAGAACAGGCAGATCTACTGGAGTACCCTGCTGGTTGACACAGGAGAGATGGGTCTGCTGTGCCATGGGGGTTGCTCTCTGGCCAGTGAGGGATGGAACTCATGCTGCAGTGGCTGCCAATAGCTTGATAGCTTGTCTTTAACCCCTGCGCTACCAGAGAAACCCTCTAACTGAAACTTTTCATGACATTCATTGCATGTTTCTGTCCTTGCTCAGACAAAACCCAAGGTAATTGGTGTTCATTCAGCCAGGGTTCAGGATAGACCATATGTCCCACAGAACTATGTGACGTGAATGAGAGATATATCAACAGTTTGTTGTTGCAGTGACACTGATATTTCATGTTCTTGTTATCTCAGCATAAAGTGAGAAAAGATGACTAATACTCCTATGTTTCTCAAATTCCCTTTTTATTCAAGACCGTGTTTTTTTGAGTCTGTGTTGATACATAGAACTTTTACTTCAGGGGTTACATATTCAGTCCTGAATAACAGATCTGACCTTCATAAGTTGTCTAGTTTGGTTTTTGCATTTCCCAATGGTTGGCAAAAAAATCAAAAGAATAACTATGTCTCAGGCCATGTGGCAATTATGTGAAGTTCAGATGTCAGAGTTCATAATGAGTTTTATTGGAACATAGCCATACTTATTTATGTATTGTCCAAGGCAACTTTCATGCTAAAATGACAAAGGTGAGTAGTTACACGAGTACAGACTGGGATGTGTCTTAATGTCTTCCACACCCAGCCTTCTAATATGTTTTATTTTTAACTAGATATTTCTTAATACATGGCAGCACATGGCAAAATTTCTGCAGTCTGTTTTCAGTGTCTGAACACAAAGAAACCCTTGGGGGAGGGGATTTCCTAGTAGAACTGCCCCTGCTTCCTCCCTTTACTTATGCCCCACCCCCTCCAAAAAATGTCATCTCTGCTTCCCTATTCTGATGGCCATGTCTTTGCTGTCTGCCCCTGACTTCCTGCTTTGTTTGTCTATATATCTGAGATAATATAGTTAAAACATGATGTTTGTTATCTACACACTTCAGTACATTTTTGGTGAAAAAAATAATTGTTACCTTGATTTGTACTTTCAACTTGAAGAAACAAACATATAGGTTCAGACCTATATAAAGCAATGTATATTCAGAAACAATTCCTTAAAGGAGAAAGAAAGAAACAAGAAGAAATATTCCAAAGAAATTTAGGGATCAAAATAACTGGAACACAAACACACAAATACAAACACACAGACACTGATAATCTTTATGGAAACAATTTTGAAATCCCGAGACTAATTTCCCTAGTCATTGTTATTCAAAATATGGAAATATATATCTGATGTAAGTGTTGCAACAGAATATTGTAATTTGCTTTTGAATTCTGAATAGTAGGTAGGACAGGATTTCTGAAAATTGGGGTGTTAGCCTGTATTTTTCTAAAGAAAGAACCCAATCTCTCTCTAAGTCAAAAGAGGTAACCTCACTGTCTAAAATTATTGATATTCAAAAGAGAAGATGATTTTATTTTATTGATATAAGTTACATGAAATGCCAGGAATCACAAACTTTGTGTTCTGCTACAGAATGATCGAATAGTTCAAAACCTGGGACAGGTCTCAACTAACTTTGTCAGCAGACAAATGTTCAGATGCTAAATATTTATGGCTTTGCAGGAGATGATCCATAATCGGGGATATTATATAAATCTGCTGTATCCCAGCGCTTCCATCAAGGTGAGAAAGCAGTCATAGACAATATATGAAAGAATGAATATGACTGTCTGCTAATAAAATTTTATTTGTGAACATTAAATAGTCTTACCTTTTTCAATTTAAAAATGTAAAAACATTCTTTCTTTATAGTAGTATATCCAAAAACAGGTGGGACTCTACCTTTGGCATGTGAGCTGTATTTTGCCAGGCCCTGATTGAAAGCCACACCCACCAGTGACTGCAATTGCCATAAAAGTACTCTAAAACTCAGTATTGATTATTGCAGAACCTGTTGTTAACACTGTCAGAGTTTTGTTGCTGTTGCTTTCTTACATGCCTACTCAAGGCATTTCCCAAATACAAGTGAATATAAGTTAATTTGTATTAACTTTCTGACAACTATTTGGAAACTATCTTACTCTGGTTACCATAAGAAAAGAGAATACATGCTTATAACTGCAACCTCAAAATTTCTACTGTAGGAAGCAATTTGTTAGGATTTTCAGAAATAACAGTCAAAAGATATTCATCTGCTGTCCATTTCTGAAGGACACAATAAATAATAAGACCGGTCTCCTTTTCATTGCCTCAGTAGTATACTGAATGGTGACTCCCCCAAAAACATATCTATATCCTAATTTCTAGAACTTGGGAATATAAAATTAATTGGGAAAAGGATCTTTGTGGGTGAAATAAGTTCAGGGTCTTGAGATGAAGACATCATTCTGGTTTATCCAGATGGGCTCCATATGCAATGACAAGAGTCTCTGTAAGGCTCTGACAGAGAGGAGAAAACTACATGAAGATGGAGACAGTTACTGAATGGTGCAGCCACAAACTAAGAAATGCTAACAACGACCAGAAGCTGGAAGAGGCAAGGAACAAATCTTTAAGACTGCTGGAGGAAGCAGTCCAACACACCTTAATTTGGGGTTTCTGAACACTGAGACTGAGGGTATTAATTTCTGTTGCTTCAAGCCACCAAGTATGTGGTAGCTCATTAGAGTGATCAGAAGAATTTAATACAACTTCTTTACTTCTTAAATAAAGGCAATAATGAACTAGACTCCATAATTAATATACCATCTTTATGATTTCGTAAGTATCAATGGCATTGAAAAGGAACTTGACCTCAGTGAAACAGAGATCAAGAGACATTTAAAAGGGCTGCTGATGAATCATATAAAATAACAGCTTTTAACATCAGTAATCCTTCTGAATTAAGTGGAAAAACCAAGTTTCCACAACCTAAATGCCTCAAAATAGATGATTGGATCAAGAAGACGTGGCATATATACACAATGGAATGCAACTTGGCAATCAAACAAGACAAACTCATGCCATTTGCAGCAACATGGATGGAGCTGGCAGGGATTATGCAAAGTGAAATAAACCAGGAGGAGAAAGATAAATACCAGATGGTGTCACTTATATGTGGAATATAGAGAAACCAAACAAAGGTACAAAGACAAACTTTAAAATCAACCCTTATTACTGACCTGGCAGGGAGATACCATGGTCTTGAAGGTGGTTTTCCCAGGGCGAGGCTTATCTGTTGAGCTCTGAATGTGCTGACCCCTGTGATACCCTCAAATGTGGGAAACTCAGCTGCGTAATTTGTGGTAGTGAGGGATTGCATTCACTCTTTCTCCTGAAAACAAAAACTAGTTCTTGAAAGTATCCACGAGAGAAGGTGAGGGGTGAGAAGCTTGGGGAGTTAAGTACATAGGCTATGGTCGAGGATTATGGGTGCTTTGGTGGTGGGAGAGCTATGGTGACCACTCTGATGGGAGACAAAAAACATATATTGTCAAAGTATTAATAAGAATGTAAAACAGTGATACTTCATTAATAAAATTTTAACAAATAAAAAGCAAAAGAAAAAAACCAAGTTCCTAAAGTTTCAAGCAATGAATATTTATCAACTTAATAAAATTGAGAGAGTAAGGTATATCTTTCATATTTAAATGCAAGCTCCTTGAGAGAAGATTCTGTGATGTATTTCTTATTTAACAACCACAATGTCAAAGATAGTTCCTCCAGGCAAGAGAAGGTCAGTTTGTGCTTGGAATCAGGGAGTGAACCTTGCAGACATCATAGTTGTGATATTTTTATTGCTCCTGTCTTTTGGCTTAAGATGTGTGTATTATAGTGACTACCTTGTCTGAGAACTTTCAAAGTCTTCTTTTTTCAAAACCAGAACTCATATTCTGAGTGTCTGTAGTATATAAATGACCTTGGGTCCTAAAATAGACTTAGAAATGGAGAAATATTGTCAGTTATCCCAAAGACCCTAAGAAGTTCTCCATGAAACTTTCCATTTCAAGTGCCAAAATATTTTCAAAATCCTCTCAAATATTTCCTTTATATTAAACTGTTAATGTATTTGAGCTAGGCTATTAAGGCTTTTCAATAGATCAAGTAGTTTACTTTCTCCTATATAGATTTTAATGACTGTCTTTTCTGACTTTTCTGCTATATGCTAAAAAAAAAAAGTTAATAACTACCTTCTTTTGTTATTGTTATTGCTATTGTATATGGATTAACTGTAAAATAAACCATTAAAAATCAGTGGACAGGGACATTTTAGGATCATTTTTTCAAAGAAAAGGAACTTTGCAGTGACAGTTGACTGGCCCAATTGCCTTAAACAGTGGTTGTGGAAAACAGGGGAATATCTTTAAGGCCAAATATATGGAATGTTAGTCATGCAGATTTTAGATAGGTAGCGTAGATTATTTTATGGTCTCAATATTACACTGGTCATTTTGTTTTTAATTGTAATAAGATCTTTGCCTGCTTAACTCATTTATCTGGGGGAAATATGAAATTTGCTTGAGGAAACATTTCTGCCTTGAAAATTAAAATATATTTAATTCATTAATCAGCTGATTTCCAGGCAAGAAAAGAATTCTGGATAATGGGACTAAAAATGTACCACTGCTAATATTCTCTCTCTCTCTCTCTCTCTCTCTCTCTCTCTCTCTCTTTCTCTCTCTCTAATTTAGAAAAAAATGTTCATCTGTTTCAGGCACAACCAACTCATAAATGGAGTACATAATAGGAAAAAATTCCAAATATGTAATCAAGTGGATATGTTCCTTAGCAAAACAATCTGTTCAGTTTTTCTAAAATGTTAGCAAGATCCTGGAATTAGGAAATAAATATGCATAATAAGAGTAGACCCAACATTGTTAATAAATATACTTGGGGTAGACAATTTCCTGAAATCTGAGAATAGTTGACTCATTCCCCTCTACCCACTAACTGAAATGCAATTCTTGAAAACAGTAATAATTTGGGTCTTGCTGTTCCACATTCTTTTTTGTATCCCTTTGTGGATTAATCATTCACTCCATCTACTCTCCAGAGAGATAAAGTTCTTTAGAACCTTTGTGTCCATTTTGTAATACCTACAGAACCAGAAAACAGTCATTCAAACCAACTGCCACTTATTGTGGATCAGTACAATTGTGTAGTTCAATTGTTCTGAAATTGTTAGCAAACAAGAAAATAGTGATAATTCTAGTATAGATTGACTCATGTCACAAGCTGTCATGAAAGAAAGCAGTGCTGAAATTACATGTAAATATATATAAATAGAAAGGTTTGGAAGGAATAAGGCTCTAATCTTTACCTTTTTTTTTTTTTTTTTCTGACTTATTTTCCAGTAACATTCTGAAAAACGGTCAAATACCCTGGCTAGAAAGATCAACTCATTGAAACAAAAGTAGGATAGGAAATGTGTTTATACATGTAAGTATTTTAATGACATTTTGCAAAGTTCAGTGAGAGGGGAGGGCTTATACTCTATATGTAAGTGAAGAAATAAGAGACAAGACTGTAATAGTTTTTTTTTTTAAGATTTATTTATTTTTTATACAAGAACTGGGGTACAGGCCAGATGCACAGGAGGGTGAGAGGATTCACCAGAGACAGAGTGGGGAACAGAACAGGCAGACTGACAAAGTACACTGTTGAGGGGAGCAGAGGGCGAGACAGGAGAGGTTTACTTTGGCATGTGGGATTCTCGCCGGCCAGCCGGGAGATGCTGTGGACAGCTTCACAGTGCGGCGCTCAACCGCCTGTGCCACCAGGGAGGCCCCGATAATTTTTTTTTAATCCTTTTAATTAACAAAGAAAAATAAGAGCCCGGCATAAGATTGATAGGCTTTTCCCATCAATCCACAAGGATTATGAAAAAAATGATGGTGAGACTATATTGACATTAATTTGGTACCAGCCATTGTGTTTCCAATTTGAAAACATCTTGATGTAATTAGAACTTGAGGAATTGCTGCAGGCAAGACTTGGTAGATGTTTCTTCCATCTTGGTTATCTTGTGAAGTTCCAGAAAGCCTCAAGCTTTATATAGTTAGAAATTCTGCTTACTTCTTCCCTTCCCCCTACTCCAGAATTTCTATATAAGTCACAACATCATGGGTCTAGTCCCTCAGGTTACCATATTATTGATGCCTCCCATCCTAGCTGGATCTGTGCAAAAATAAGACACTATGGACTTGTAAATAGATTATGCCATATCCTGTGATTATAAACAGAAAAAAAAAATTAGGCTCTGACTAATGTTTTGTGCTCATTAGTAAGTCTTGTTTTTCCATGAGGAGATTGTTAATTTTGTTTCTTTTTTCCTCCTGGATAATGATTCAGATTTACCAACACAACTTCTGACTCTCAACTGAAGCTAAAATTTCCCTATGGTTCAATCAAGGCAGCAGATCTACAGTCCCTGGAAGACAAGCTTTCTGGAGTTGATCTCTGCAACAGTAATGTGCAGAGGAAAAATATCATATTTCTAGCACACAAATGGTGATTTCACTAATTATTTAAATCCAGCCTCCAGTTGGCATATACCAGTGCACTCTGGAGATTCACTTCTACTTTATTATTTGCAAACTATGATCTCTTATGCCAGATAAAATTTGAAATGTCTCCATCAATTTGAATTCAAATAAAGGATATGATTTTCTTTCCCTGATAAATATATTTTTATCATATTAGTATTTAAATATGGATTTAGTCTCCTAGAAAGATTGAATGTGTGATAAAATGTTGGGGGGTGGTAATAAGTGCTAGGAAGGATTGTAGTTCCCTGAAGGAAGCATTCTCAACTTCATGGTAGGATGCAGAGGAAAGAAGTGAGAATATACTATTTATACTCCAGAACTCCTGAAGTATCTAAACCAAAACGTTAAGAACACTGTATAATATGTCTCCATAAATAATGTCTAGCCATTCACTAGAAAACTATTTTGAGTCTTTCATTATTATAATAAAAATATAGCAGTCAACTTTATCCTTTTTTTGCAACATTAAGCTTTTTTGTTTAGTTCTCACTTGACAAAATAAAGGTTTTATCTTACTATATATTGACTTTAACAATTGCATACAAACTTAGATCAGTTAAATTCAAATTTATTGTATGCAGTGGTTAATGTTACTTTCTCTTGTGTTTAGTATGTAACTATAGATTCAAGGTTTCAAATAATATTCTACCAAATCACTGTAATACCGAGGACACAGAATGTATACATACATATGTATATGCAAACACACATGTATATATGTTAATTAGTGAATGTGTGCATGTTTGATATGAAAGCAAAGATAAGGTCTATCCAAGACAATGTTAGCTAGCTAATCAATACCTAGATGCAATTTGCTAGTTGATAACATTAGAATTGCTTCACTATTATATTTTCATTGTTTCAAATTAACTCATCAATCACATGCTGGCATCATATACACCAATGGTAAGGCATTAAACAAACAAGTCTGTTTCATTCTATAGTATTTCAGGCAACAATATACCCTTTATCAATAATATCATAGGCTAATAGTAGGGAGGAGAAGTCATAGTACATGTACTTCTAACCATTGTTGTAATGAACTCTGTGTCTCTGGTCACAACTCAGCTGTTGGATTTCTCTTCCCTTTCCCCCATGTTCTGACAACCATTCTCTGCCAAGCTCTAACCAAATGAGTTCTGGATAACTGTCTTGGTTCTGACATGCCCCTAGTTATAATGGATTAAGCCTGCATTTCCTTGATTTTTTGAGAAGAGAATTAAAATATCAGCTTCCAAACTTGTTGGAATCCCATCACTCCATCAGGAGAAAGCATCTCTGCTGGTCAAGAGTAATGTCTGAGTACTGAGGTCGTGACAGGATTCAAGTCCACATTTCCATTCAAATTTGAATTCTAGCAGTAACACCACCTTTTCTGCATTACTTTTCTTTTTTTTTTAAAGATATATTTATTTATGCATACAAGAACTAGAGTGTAAGCCTGAGGTGCCACAGGTGAGACGATTCACTAGAAAGAGTGGGGAGCAGAACAGGCAGATCTACTGAAATACACTGCTGAGGGGAGCAGCAGGCAAGGCAGGAGAGGTCTGCTGCGCCATGTTGGTTAGCTCTCTGGCCAGGGATCGAACTCATGCTGCAGTGGCTGCTGATAGCTTGATAGCACTGCCTTTATCCCCTGAAACACCTGGAAGGCCCCTCTGTATTATTTTTCAGTTCCTCTGTTAATTATCTAATGCAGCATTATTCTTTGTTTCACAGATTGGCCTGAATTGGATTTCAATAACTTATAAATAAACTATCATGCTTTTTAATTTCAAGTGTCAGATTC